TTCTCTATTCTTTATTTAATTGGCGTTTTTTTCTGTAGTATTGACTCATTATTCTTTATTTGTTGGCCATTTTTTCTGTAGTATTGACTCATTATTCTCTATTTGTTGGCCATTTTTTCTGTAGTATTGACTCATTATTCTCTATTTGTTGGCCATTTTTCTCTATTCTTTATTTAATTGGCCCTTTTTTTCTGTAGTATTGACCCATTATTCTCTATTTGTTGGCCATTTTTCTCTATTCTTTATTTAATTGGCGTTTTTTTCTGTAGTATTGACTCATTATTCTTTATTTGTTGGCCATTTTTCTCTATTCTTTATTTAATTGGCCTTTTTTTTCTGTAGTATTGACCCATTATTCTCTATTTGTTGGCCATTTTTCTCTATTCTTTATTTAATTGGCGTTTTTTTCTGTAGTATTGACTCATTATTCTTTATTTGTTGGCCATTTTTTCTGTAGTATTGACTCATTATTCTCTATTTGTTGGCCATTTTTCTCTATTCTTTATTTAATTGGCCCTTTTTTTCTGTAGTATTGACCCATTATTCTCTATTTGTTGGCCATTTTTCTCTATTCTTTATTTAATTGGCGTTTTTTTCTGTAGTATTGACTAATTATTCTTTATTTGTTGGCCATTTTTCTCTATTCTTTATTTAATTGGCCTTTTTTTTCTGTAGTATTGACCCATTATTCTCTATTTGTTGGCCATTTTTCTCTATTCTTTATTTAATTGGCCCTTTTTTCTGTAGTATTGACCCATTATTCTCTATTTGTTGGCCATTTTTCTCTATTCTTTATTTAATTGGCCCTTTTTTTCTGTAGTATTGACCCATTATTCTCTATTTGTTGGCCATTTTTCTCTATTCTTTATTTAATTGGCGTTTTTTTCTGTAGTATTGACTCATTATTCTTTATTTGTTGGCCATTTTTCTCTATTCTTTATTTAATTGGCCTTTTTTTTCTGTAGTATTGACCCATTATTCTCTATTTGTTGGCCATTTTTCTCTATTCTTTATTTAATTGGCCCTTTTTTCTGTAGTATTGACCCATTATTCTCTATTTGTTGGCCATTTTTCTCTATTCTTTATTTAATTGGCCCTTTTTTTCTGTAGTATTGACCCATTATTCTCTATTTGTTGGCCATTTTTCTCTATTCTTTATTTAATTGGCGTTTTTTTCTGTAGTATTGACTCATTATTCTTTATTTGTTGGCCATTTTTCTCTATTCTTTATTTAATTGGCCTTTTTTTTCTGTAGTATTGACCCATTATTCTCTATTTGTTGGCCATTTTTCTCTATTCTTTATTTAATTGGCCCTTTTTTCTGTAGTATTGACCCATTATTCTCTATTTGTTGGCCATTTTTCTCTATTCTTTATTTAATTGGCCCTTTTTTCTGTAGTTTTGATCCATTATTCTCTATTTGTTGGCCATTTTTCTCTATTCTTTATTTAATTGGCCCTTTTTTCTGTAGTATTGACCCATTATTCTCTATTTGTTGGCCATTTTTCTCTATTCTTTATTTAATTGGCCCTTTTTTCTGTAGTATTGACCCATTATGATCTATTTGTTGGCCAATTTTTCTCTAGTATTCTTTAATTAATTGGCCCTTTTTTCTGTAGTATTGGTCCATTATTCTCTATTTGTTGGCCTATTTTTCTTTATTCTTCATTTAATTGGCCCTTTTTTCTGTAGTATTGGTCTATTATTCTCTATTCTGTAAACCCCATTTCATCCAGACCCTCTCTGATTTTTTTATAATTATTATACATCAGTCAGTATTGCTTATACTAATAACATATGGGAAGTTGATTGCTACTTTGCCTAAATTGGTATTAAATATTAACACATGCATGTCTATTCACAATTGTTTGATCAAGGAATCTGATGTAACATACGTTCACTTGTCTCGATCCGTTTAACACTTAACAATTCAAACTTTTAAAAAAGTTATCAATCTTATTTTTTTTTAATTATATATTTTTAATTATTTGGTGAAATTTTCTAAATTTAGAAAAAAAATCAAAAATTTGAAATGTTAATATTTCAAAACTTTGAACAAAAATCAAAAAAGCTAAAATTTGAAAACTTTTTAAAATTTTGAATTGTTAAGTGATCTTAAGTTTTACATGGACCTATCTCATATATAAAGTAATGTAAACAATTTCTGTTTCAATCCAACAGTTGAATCCTTCAGAGAACAGTTGACACCAGCTGTTACTCTATAACATAATCTTACTCAATAAATACCAATGTATAACTATTTATTATAAATTCAGTTATTTGTTTGGCATGATTTCTTTTGTAAATTGTTATAATCAATCTTCATGCATCAGTTTGTGACTAATCTTCAATGTTATGACATTGAAATTGTATACTCTATGAATACTGTAACCATTCAATCAACAGAGAATATCCTTTGAATTTTTCAATATCTATCGCAAGCCGTTTTACTATTTATTGTAACTTCATGATATCTAATAAACTTTATAAGATATCTCATATAGTTTATAAGATATCTTCTATAATTTATAAGATATCTTATAGATATCAAGTATAATTTTCTTTATAAGGTATCTTATATACTTTATGTGATATCTTCTAAAGTTTATAAGATATCTTATAAAGTTTATAAGATATCTCATAAAGTATATAAGATATCTTATATATTACATGAGATATCTTATATATTATATAAGATATCTCATATATTATATGAGATATCTTGAAGTTAGAATAAATAGTAAAACGACTTGCCATAAATATCACATTCTTACCAACCTGAGACAACAATTTAATTCAGAGCTTTGCCATATCAAAATTAAAATGCAAAGATTTAATGCTAAATGAACTTCAAAAAATGAGTCATTATTGATACCCAATATAAACAGCTATGCACATACATATACAATCATTAAAATCCAGTAAACATCAAGTCTATTGCCCTTAGTTCTTATGACTTTTAATGTAGGACCCCAATTTATTAACTTGTGATGGTGTTGATGGATGAAGTATAAAAACATCATCTTTTCTTCACCAGACAAATATTAAACAGAAATGTCATCTATTTAATTCATCCTCTAATATGTTATAGTTAAGGCAATATATCTGCTCTCTATGAATATATGAATTTCTTCCTTTTTCTATATTCATATTATGGTCACTTATTCATAGTTTTTTTCTATGTGTAAAATTTGATGTTCTTGAATAATATTCAAAATATAAACTTTAAGGTTCTTTTACAAATGAATTTTACTTTTTTCGTTGATTTTTTACATTTTATTATGAATTAAATTTTCTAAATAGTTTTTATACGCCCGTTTACAGGACATATTATGGTATACCGTTGTCCGTCTGTCCGACCGTCTTCAACATGTCGGACAATAACTCAAAAACGCTTTAACCAATTTGCAATAAACTTTGGCGAATTGTTTATATCTATTGACATGAGCTCCCTTTCAATTTTTATAAATTTTAGATTTTACGTTTCCATGTTATGGGATTTTATTCATAAAAGCGCTGTTCCTTTGCTTTCAGTGCGTGTTTTTTTGCTGTGCATGTACTGATTTTGTGTCATGGATGGATACCCCATATCCTTAGTACTGAAAATTCAGAAATCATTGCAAGTTTTTTATTAATGCGAATAATGCAACTGGGTGAGTATCGCAATAATAAGAAATCCCATTCTAACATCTTAGAGAAATATATCTGTATGCAATTTTTTCCGAAATTACAATAATTAATCTTGCATTTTTGTTCATTATGCAAAAATCGCAATAATAAATGCATGCAATAATTTATGCATGCAATAATTTCTGAATTTACAGTATTTATGGAAAGCTAATTGTGTCTTATAATTAACCAATCATGGAGTAAACCACATGCATATTATAATGAGGAAAATGCATAACTAAAGTTATAATGAGCTTACCAATAAGCTATGTTTCAAATATTTAGATGTTCTAGTTTGTATTTGCAGAGATATTCTGGAACAAAACTTTGATATGTGCATAACCAAATAGATGGGGAATGTGTCCTATGGACACAGATGATGCCCCACTCGCATATAACGTTATAAAGGGGCATAACTAGAGAACGGTAAAAGTGACAACACCCAAATTTGAACTTGGAATCTGTATTTTGTGGTAATAAGCATTGCGTATAAGTTTCATAACATTTGGTTGAGGCAAACTAAAGTTAGAGAAAAGAAACCAATTTTGGAGCATACAGACATACAGACAGACAAGGGTAACACTTAATGCCCCCTCCGGTGACGACAGGGGCATAAAAAAGGTTGTTCCTGATATTGAATAGCCCATAACCGTAGTAGGTTCAAATTCAGCTGGTTATTTAAAAAAAAAGCTTACCATTGTCTTGTTATCACAAATATTTACATATAAAGGGGTATAACTCCTATTTGACCTTTAGCTCAAGTCATAGTAATCTTATGTTACATGGAGTATCACTAAATCCAAACAGGCAGACACCATTCAAAATTAAAGAATATATCATAATGACCTTAATCTTCAAGATAACTTTAGGTCAAGGTCATTTCACACCTTTACCTCACAAGGTAAAATCTTTTAGATTTTTTCATAGTTATGGTCTCAATGTGTCTTATTATTCAAACAGGTGAACTGTCTTAGTATACTCGTGTCTCTGCTTCAATTGTGGGAGATCATCGGTCATACCAAAGAAGGTCAAATTGGTATTTGCTGCTTCTCTGCTAAGTAGAGGACATTAAAGAGTGGAAGCAAAGACTAATCAGCTTGGAGACAGAATAATAAGTCCATTTAGGGTGACGTTCCTCCCTACTGGGTGTTGCTTTGTAAACTAGCACATTAAAAGTCCAGCTTAGCATGTCGACCTAGTACAAATCAGGTTTCATATTCATATCACACTAACATGTTCTCATCCTGAATATGCATTTAGTTTGCTATTGGACCTTAAACAGCCATCCATCAGACAGGAATCTGATTTGGGGTATAGAAAAAAATCATAGATAGATTTCATATTTATTCATTTATTTTTCTAAATATTATAAAGACATCTTAAAAAGTAAAATTATAAAGTGAAAAATTAAATATATAAAAAAATATGACAATATCTGATCTGTAGTATAGATAGAATTAAATAATGAAGAAATGACATACATAATACACTTTTAGTGGTAGATTAAAAATCAAATTTTGTAATGTCTTTTTTTAGGTCAATCAAGAATCCTAGAAAAAAACAATTGCTTAAGGATGTTTGCTACTCAGTTTTATAATAACAAGCTTTTAAACAGACTGTTATAAATTGAAAGTATATGAATAAAGGAACTTAAAAAGTAGAAAAAATATAAGCCATTGAAAATTTGACGGGAAGTGATTCTCTCTAGATTTTTCATACATTTAACATTGGCACCTTTTTTCTTTCAAAAACTATGAAAAAATAACAAGAATTTAATAAGATTTTCAAAAATGGCTTTTTAAACTATATGTAATAAAATTATAAAAAGTAAAGTAGGGGTTTGCCGGCAAAATTTTTTATGGCACTACATGGATTAAACCAGAGGATTCCGAATATCTAGTAAAAATTCAAAAACAAGAGGAGCAAACATCCTTAAGGATACTATTTATCTGTATTTCCTGGGTAAAGATTAATCTTTATTTAAGAATTTGGCAAATACAAAGTTTCCAGTCCTTGAAAGGAAACAAAGTGAACAACAGCATCTTATTGAAGAAAGTTTTCACTAGGTTAAAAGCAAATTAAATACTGTGAATTTAGAAATTATTGCATGTATTATCATTGCGATATTTTGATGAATGGACAAAAATGTGAGATTTATTATAGCGATTTCAGGAAAATCTGCTTTCAGATGTTTGTATCAGATATCAGAATGCAAGTTCTAATTATTGAGATATTCACCCAGTCGCATTATTTGCATTAATAAAAACCCTCGCAATTATTTCAGAATTTACAATACTAAAAACTTACAGAAATTATTTCTGTTAAGATCAAGACAAAAATTTAAAGATTATATATAAATGCAAGTTAAGAAGTAGTAATGAATGCCTTTTATATAAGTAAACACAATCAATACATTTTATTTAAATGAAAAAATAAAAATAATCATATGTGTGTGTTGGTTTATACTACAGAAATAATATATATATAGTTAGTACAAATAGTTTTGTGATATTTAATATCACATTTTAGTAAGACATTAGACATAAGTTATAAATTGAATTAAAACACCATTGATGATTCTATACAAAATGTATATATAATTATAATATTTACAAGTATAAAATAGAATAAATTCATTTTTTGGAATGATCAGAAAGCTATCAGCATACATATTGAGTAAATAAAAGTCTTATTTTAGTCATTAATGTGAAATAAGTTTTAAATCAATTTTTAGAAAAAAAAGTCATAAAACTTTTTTCTTCTTCGACATAATTTTATTTGGTCTAAAAATATCTTAATGTCATGGAATGTAGTTTGTGTATCATTTAAAGAAATAAAAATTTTCAAGATTTACAGAAAACATGAAACATTTTATCAAAATTTCTCATCAAGAACTTACTTCATTCAACTATAGTATCTGACAGATAATGACCAAAAATAATATTTCCCACTTCAAATTATTAATACGTGGTTATTTAAAATTCTCATAGAAAACAAGATAATCTACAATACAGAAATGGCATTTAAAAAAAGGTACAATTCCTAAGTACCTATTGTCAAATACATTGTGTAAATGGTAAATAAGCAATCTTATACTGAATATTAATGTCAGAAAATAAGAACAAAATTCTTTGGATTATAGACTTTTGGTTCCCTGCAGATATCAATCCCATTCTAAAAATAGTTTTAAAAGGTATGTAACTTGGTAACAGCGCCATAAAAACTTGTGGCGATAATTTGTTTAACTATATTGATTGATTACAGATGTTTAGCATTCAGTGACAATTATTACATGCATAATTAGAAAGTAAAGATATTAATGCCATATGAAAAATACTGATTTGTATTTTTTATGCATTCTAGTTTTCAACGTGGACCCAGGATTTGATGTTAGAGGGGATGCTCTGGAGAATAAAAAGTTTGAAGACCATATTTTGACAAAAATTTGGTAGAATTTGTACTTATAATTTTTTTTTTCCTTTTTTAGGGGGGGGGGGGGGGGGGCTGTGTGACAATTGTACCCCCTCTGAATCCTTGTCTGGTTTTTAAGGAAAGATCAGAAAGGGGATTTACATAACCAAAAAAATCAGCCCTAAAAAACTTCACTGAGTGCTTATGTGTGGGTTTTTAAAAACATCTTAATCAATACATGTATATATTCCAGTAATACTATGTACACGATATTTACATTCTTATTTACAAATATGTATCAAGGTATGTCCTGTTTTGTATAAAAATGGTGATTTCTATGTTGGCTTTTGTTCCAAAGACCATTTGAACACAACTTTAATTTAATGGTATGGATTTTTTACTGTGTATATGCTTTGAACCAATTAATTCAAAATCCTGACTTGTAAATGGATTATTAAAACCATAATGTTAAATAAATTGAAAAATGAAATTAATTATTAAATGGAAACACTACCTAATTTGATTGCTGGAGTTCAAAAACCATATATTTACATTTTCTTATACTGTAAATTCAGAAATTATTGCGTGCATTTATTATTACTATTTTGTCATTTTAGACTAAAATGTGATTTTAATTTTTGCGATATTGAGAAAAATCCTGTTTAATTCATATAAAAAATTTCAAAATGCGAGTTTAAATTATTGCGATTATAATCCTGTCGCATTTTTAGCAATAATAAAAACATTGCAATAATTTCTGAATTTACAGTAACAAGAAAAATAACATACAGTCCCATTTCAATAAACTTTAGTCTCACAGTATAACAAGTTGCATCATAAAATAAGCTAACATGAAAATTCTATATAAACATTAACAATCACAACTTTGATATGGCACACTGCATGTGGAAAGTCACAAAATTCAAAACATTAGTTTTTAGGTTAAAAGACTTGTGATCAATTATTGAACTACAAGTGTATATATCAGACCTAAAAAAAAATTTTTTTCAAATCCTGTACAACAAATCATAACAACCCTTTTCTCTTTTATAAACAAATCCTGCTTGATTCTACATATTTACATGAAATATAAATATTAAAGTGTATATACACAGATATTGTGGTATTCAATACTTACACTTTGGAATAAAATATATTTGTAACGATTTAATATATACAATGCATAAGCGATGGCAGAAAATATGAAATGATGTGTTCCAGCTTTAGAAACAATGCTGTACAATTTTACTTGTTATGACAATTTCGAAACCTGAGCTTAAACACGAGTTTGATACAGTACACCTCAATATCCATTTTAAGACAAAATAGTACACAACTAGAGTGATGTATTGCACATTTAACTGCTTAAGCCTGGGCGGGCACTTCCTATATACAAGATGATAGGACGTGCCACTGGAATAGGTCACATTTTCCAGCTTGAAAATATGTGGATAGATGGTGAAAACTATCAGAAATATATGACAAGGTCAATAAAGTTCCCATTACAGCCAAAAGTCTCGAATTAAGTAAACATTACATAAGGGATCTGAGCTCCGAGCAAAGGTGATATTTTCTCGATAATGCCGGAATATGATTCTTGACCCCTCCTGGACTCGAATGATACCCAACCAAATATGGGAAAAGGTTACATTTTTACCTACGCAATTTATGAAAACGTTTACATTTCTAAAATCTAAATTATATGAAAAGGGTGGGGTAACAGAACCTCAGGGGCACCAACTATCAATTAAGTATTGAAGTGGTCTGCCCGAGGCTTTAGCTTTTAATAGTGAATGTGAAACAAACAATAATGGTTGCATTCAACACAGCTATTATCTAACAACAGCTACATGTAAATAACAGACACTTAGTGTTTAAATTCAGAAATATTTGCAAGAATTCATTTCTGTGACTGTTGAACAATGGAAACAAATGCGGATTGATAGACTATTTTCATATTACCAACTTTTGACTACAGATTTTAACAATTTTCGACTGTTTACCTACTCTGTGGGTAGGACATCCTGGTACTCGGTCAGGTAAGAGCAACCAAAAAAAGTAAAATCAAACATAATTTGTGCAATTTTTGGGGATAGTTTACTGTTTTCTGATTATTTTGTCGTGTATAAAAAAACATATAACAGTTAATGTTCCCCCCAAATTGTACCTATTGTAAGCTTGATTTTACTTCTTTAAGTAGCTCATCCTTGACCAAGTACCAGGATGTCCTACTGCAGAGTAGGCAACCTGTCAAAAAAGAAATATAAACTCCAGAGTCAAAAGTCGGTAATATGAAAATAGTCTATTATTGCAAATTTACTAAATGCTGCATATAATGCCAGTTTTAATTTTTGAAGCACCTATCCTGTCACAATTTTCACAAGAATAAAAACATTGCAAAAACTTCTTAATTCACAGTAAATTATACAGGAATGGTCGGAAGTCCATATAAAAAGTACAAGTATCAACAAGAACAGACTTTTGCTCACAGAAAAAGAAAACAACGAGTAGAATGTCAGTTCCCTGTAAGCAAAACAAAATGAATAACTAGCAACATGTGTTATCCACACAAAATATACAACTGTCTACAGGAATGAATTGTAGTTCACACAAAAAGTACAACTAGCAACAGGAATAAACTGTAGTCCACACAACAAATACAACTAGCAACAGGAATAAACTGTAGTCCACACAAGTACAACTAGCAACAGGAATAAACTGTAGTCCACACAACAAATACAACTAGCAACAGGAATAAACTGTAGTCCACACAACAAGTACAACTAGCAACAGGAATAAACTGTAGTCCACACAACAAATACAACTAGCAACAGGAATAAACTGTAGTCCACACAACAAGTACAACTAGCAACAGGAATAAACTGTAGTCCGCACAAAAGATACATCTATCTACCGGAGTGGACCGTTATCCATAAAAACAGTACAACAAGCAACAGAATTGGACTGTAGTGAACATGGCTGGATCCAGCCGTTAATAAACTGAGATCATCTGGTACATACAATATAGTGTCTATAATGTGGACGATTCCATTTGTTGCACCATTGTCCATGTGGATCACTCGAGCTGCTGCTGCCTGGTAATACAGGGTTACAACTGAAAATACAAAACAATAATTCTTTAAAGATTTTCATAATTAGGAATCCTATATCCTAATTGGTTAAAAGTACTTCAGGGAGGGACTTTTGTGGTAGGATTTTTTTTTTTTTATGAAGTAAGACGGTAACATGCACAGCCATATGTAGACTAGTATATATAGATTCTACTAATGCATCGAGTGTGAAACAATATTTATCCACTCGAGACAGTTGAATTTTCAAATTTAACTGTCGAGAGTGGATGAATATCGTATTGCACGAGATTTGGTGGTGGAATCTGTTTCTCTAATGATTTTTAGATGTTCAGTAGTTGTCGTTTGTTGATGTGGTTCATAAGTGTTTCTCGTTTTTCGTTTTTTATATAGATTAGACCGTTGGTTTTCCCGTTTGAATGGTTTTACACTAGTAATTTTTGGAGCCCTTTATAGCTTGCTGTTCGGTGTGAGCCAAGGCTCCGTGTTGAAGACCGTACTTTGACCTATAATGGTTTACTTTTATAAATTTTGACTTGGATGGAGAGTTGTCTCATTGGCACTCATACCACATCTTCTTATATCTATATGCATACAAATTTAATCCTTCTTTTCGAATGATCTGCAAAAAGATGTGTTCTTTCTATGTGACGTTATCAGACATGTCACCTTTTTTCATGTTACAATAAGAATTTCAGAGGAAAGCAAAAAAATTGGACATCATAATCAAATTTTGACCAATGAAGATCTGAGATCAAACTAACCACAAGTTGATTAAATAAAAATAATCAACAGGTCAGGAAAAGGATAAATCGGGTCAGAATTAGAGAAATTTGTGTATCTACGTTGTGTACTACTTCATTTTATTTGCTTTTGCCAGCTGGTCAATCAAATGTGTTATGTAGACCAACCTTAGTACTTGCCCTATTCATACATGATTTCCTGCCAAATTATCTAACATTTATCTATGTATTACGTGGTTGTATAAACATTTGTACTATTACTAGGTTTTATTTGCAGTGACTTCTGTGACAGTATTTGTTAATTTTTATATGGGAATGGTTGTAATAATTCTTAAAAGTTATTGTTATTATACCAAGAAAGATAATCCTTGAAAAACCTTATACACCATACTCCATATGGAGGTTATCCCTATGTTGATGGAGAGATAATTAAGAAGAATAACATTAGAACCATATCAGAATGATATCAAATTCATTTCTTGCTGAAAACAACTATTTTTGAATATTCATTTATTCTCTGCAATTTCACACAAAACTGTATAGTTTTTACTGTGAAATCATTATTATTCCTGGGAAACCAATTTCCATGGATTTCCTGGTAAACATTGAAGTACTACTATAGGCTGCTATGCAGACTTGGGCAAAACCATGAAATCAAATATCAATGAAAATACCACTTTCCTCATTCCATAAAAATACTCATGGTTTCATTATTGTTCAATACAAACATTCTGATTAAATTTTATTAAAAGAAGAGATACTTTTTAAGAGCAGGATTTATCTAAACAATGATTGAATAAAGTAACATTCTTTATGTGCCTGTTCAAAGCCTGAAGCTTGTAGTTAATTGACAGATAATGGTTGTTGTGTGTCATAACTGTTTTTCACTTAATATTATTGGCTTAGCAGGATGTTGGTTTTCTCTTTTAAACTGTATCACATTTTGCCATCCCAATGCCTTTCCTAGCTTACTTAAGGTATGGGTAGTGTTCTGTTTTGGGAAGTGTTTTGTTTTGAAGGTCGTATTTTTAACTGTAGTTGTTCATATCCTTGACCTTCAGACTTTTTTTGATAGTTGTATTATTGGCAATCATACCACATCTAATTAGGCTAATATTTAAAGTAACTAATCTATGAGGGTCTGGATGGAGTTTACAGAATAGAAAAAAATGGGCTAATACTACAGAAAAATGGGCCCCAAAAAATATAGAATAGAAAAAATAGGCCTAAAAAATAGAGAATAGAGAATAATGGGCAAAAAATATAAATACTAAAGAAAAATTACATAAAAAATTAAAAAATAAAGAAATGAAGGGACCCCATCCAGACCCTCATCTATAATTTCTACTTACATCACAATCCAGACCCTCATCTATAATTTCTACTTACAATCACCATCCAGACCCTCATCTATAATTTCTACTTATATCACCATCCAGACCCTCTACTATAATTTCTACTTACATCACCATCAAGACCCTCATCTATAATTTCTACTTACATCACCATCCAGACCTTCATCTATAATTTCTACTTACATCACCATCGACCCTCTACTATAATTTCTACTTACATCACCATCCAGACCCTCATCTATAATTTCTACTTACATCACCATCCAGACCCTCATCTATAACTTCTACTTATATCACCATCCAGACCCTCATCTATAATTTCTACTTACATCACCATCCAGACCCTCATCTATAATTTCTACTTACATCACCATCCAGACCCTTATCTATAATTTCTACTTACATCTATCATTAGATTTGGAGATTCGTATTGAATCGCCATGTATAGATTTGTAATTGTAGTTGGTATTTGCTAGTGTCTCTAATTCTATCTTCCCACGAAACATCAGTCTTGTTAATATCTAAAAATAAGCATATACAATGAAGTAAACAAGATCAATGAAGATTTACTGTGAGCTATTGCTCAATGATGATACCCCAATAAAATGTATTGAGTGAACAGGATTGATTGATTGATTGATTGGTGTTTCACGCCACTTTCAACAATATTGTTGTAAGTTTTTACTGGTGGAGGAAGCCGGAGTGCCCAGAGAGAACCACAGACCTTCAGCAGTCTGCACCGTTAGCCAGTAGTCCGATGCCCCTGACTAGTAAAATTTTATTTTGACTAGTAGGTAATGGTAAAATTTTGTTTAGACACATAAGAACCAAGAATGTGTCCATTGTACATGGATGCCCCACTCGCACTATCATTTTCTATGTTCAGTGGACCGTGGAATAGGGGTCAAAACTTTAATTTGGCAGTAAAATTAGAAAGATCATATCATAGGAAACATGTGTACTAAGTTTCACGTATGTGTACGAACGGTGGCACGGACCGAAAAACATATATATGCCCCTCTACTATCGTAGGCGGGGCATAAAAATGTCGGAATATTTGTCTTCGAACTGGTAGTTGGAAGATTTTGGCACAGACTGCTTCAGTAGGAATATTGACAATCCTAGTCAATTAAGATTGGAGTTTAGAGCACATGCCACGTGCGGGAATTGAACTCAGAACCTTATTGTTGACAGGCTAGTGATACATTTGTTCGATTACTTAGGAATAAACAGGAAGTTGATAAGAATTGGGTATAGCTTACTCTCATGAAGCATGTAATCAAATTTGAGGAAGCTCTCAACAATTTCAACATATGAACAGAAGGACAAAGGTAAAGCAGGTTACCCCATTCATTCACCTTGGATAGGGAGTAAAATCATATAAACCTAAATGCAATGTCACAACAAAGGAGTAACAAAACTGATATTAAGTATTACTACAAAAATTTATTTCACTTTAACACCTCAAAACTAGCTTATCAATGGTCAGTCAGAACTATAGAAATTGTTTTCACTGTTGTGAAGAATTTATTTAGGGAGCAATTCACTTTAAGCTAGTCATGTGCAATATACTCAGCTTCACATTGTTTAAATCCTATTCTGTATATTTTGTCATCTATTTTTATTCACGATTATAGAAATAAAAGTTTGACTGAGTTTGATATTCCTGTTTTATTGGCAATATGTTCTATGCATTTCAAATATAAAAAAAAAGGAGAGTGAAGGATACCAATGGGACATTTAAACTCACAAGTCAAAAATAAACTGACAACTCCATGGCTAAAAAGAAAAAGACAAACAAACAACATTAAAAAACCACAACACAGAAAATCAAAGACTGAGCAACACTTACCCAACCAAAAACTGGAGGTGATCTCAGATGCTCCAGAAGGGTAAGCAGATCCTGCTCCACATGTGGCACCGTCGTGTTGCTCATGTTAGTACAAACCCGGTGATAAGTCTAATTCAGTAGGTCACATTTGGGGAAGTTGCAGGACTTATCATTGGGGCTTTATTGGGATAATAAAATGCTCAGCGGGGCGCAACTTGATATGACCACAGAAGTCAAACCCTGAACAGTTGGGACTTTATTGGGATAAAAAGCTGACAGCGATCAGACCAAAAATTTTAATACACTAAAATTCCTGATATACAGTGTTTTCAATTATGGTCCATTTAACTGCAATTCCATCATATAAGTTGACAATGAAACACACTACAAAACATGAAAATATCTTTATATATATATTACTGTATTTTTGAGATTCACACTTCAACAACATTGTGTACAACATGTCCAATAAGATGTATGCATTAAATTTTAAATTAACAATAATGTTGTACATGTATAAATTTCAATCTTACCCTTTGAAAAGCATAAGCATTTTTCATGATCTTTTCACCATAGTTAGTATTTGAGAAATAATCTATAGCTGTAGAGTTTGGAGCAAAGAATGTTAGTTCACATGGCGATGATGCTGTTCCACAGTAGCCCATGTCCCATGGTGGATTCTCTGTCCACGGTGCAATAGTAGCCAGTCCGACTTTGTTGAAGTAATTGTTGATTCCATAATTTGGAGGATAGCCTTGTGACTCAAATGTACACTGTTGACTGTAGAACCTTCTGTCTGTCAAGTAGTTTTTCATACCAAGTGCTCTCATGTAATCATATGTTCTCCTTCAAAGACAAATATAGTATATAGTTCTACAAGCTGACAAAAAACTTGAGGGAGCACTATAAAGCAGTGGTGAAGAGCACTGTTTTTGATTTGATCTCGTAAATATGCAATAAACTACAGGTAGTTTAACTCAGCCACATTTTTTAATGTTTATGTCATATCTTATCAGGAGCACCTGAGATCACCCCTGTTTTTGGTGGGGTTCCTGATGCTCAGTCTTTGGTTTTCTATGTCGTTTTGTGTACTATTGTTTGTCTGTTTGTCTTTTTATTTTTTAGCCATGGCGTTGTCAGTTTATTTTTGACTTATGAGTTTGAATGTCCCTTTGGTATCTTTCGCCTCTCCATAAATGTTTTTTTTTTTCATTATGAGAATTGGATGGTAATGGCAAATCTTTGTTTCCTTCTGTTAAATTCATTCATTAACTTTTATAGACTCAGAACACTTTACATAATGTGTAGACATCTGTCTGTTATTGAAGACATATATGTTGCCCACTAGATGTCTAGAGGTTACTTTTTTTGTTGGGTTGCTGCCTCCTTGGTGTATACCCCACATCTCCATTTGTAAATACATATTTAGCTCATAAATTTTTTATCTGACACATACAATTAATTGGTTATGATGAACATTCAGAAAACATGTGTTGTGCAGACTCAATTAGTATCATCTATTCTCATTATAATTTCATTGTTTGGTACATTAATCATTTTTAAAATAAATGGAGAATGTGTCCATGGGACACAGATGATGCCCCTCGTTTGCATATAATGTTATAAAGGGGCATAAATCCAGAATGGTAAAAGTGACACCACCCAAATTCGAAGTGATCTGAGATTTGTGGTAATAAGCATTGTGTATAAGTTTACTAACATTTGGTTGAGGCAAACTAAAGTTAGAGAACGGAAACCAATTTCTGGATGTACGTATGGACAGACGGACGGACAGACGGACAAGGGTAATGCCTTTAACCTTTAATGCCCCCTTCACCCCAGCGGGGGCATAAAAAACAATACCTGTATTATCTTAATTTAACAATCTATCAAATTTAATGACTTACAACAACCAGAGGTCACTACAGATAAGGTTGGCCAGATCCAGGTAAGGTATACCCATTATTGTATCTATGAACTGTATTCTACCATTTGTACACTCGATGTCAGCCTGTGTAACCTTTGCTATTACTGTGTCACCTTGAACCCAAGTTTCTGAAAAAAGATAAGATCAAGGAGTAAATAAGTTTCTGAAAAAATATCAGGTCAAGGAGTAAAAAAGTTTCTGAAAAAAAGATAAGGTCAAGGAATAAAAAACAATTCTGAAAAAAATAAGGTCAAGGAGTAAAAAAGTTTCTGAAAAAAGATAAGGTCAAGGAGTAAAAATCTGTGTTGGTTGCAGCTCTTCTATAAAAGCATGCAAAGCAAACCTTTGATCAACTTGCTTGCTATGTTTGTTTGGATGTTTGTAAACAAAAGGTAGGTAGTCTGTTTCAGTCTGTTTACTATATAATGGAATTTGATTGGACAATAAACATTAACTTCATTGCATGTCAGTTATATAAAAACAGACTGAAACTCCCCCTACCTATTGTTTGCAAACATCCAAGCAAACATAGCAAGTTGATCAAAGGTTTGCTTTGCATGCTTTTATAGAAGAGCTGTAAAGCTGAGCTTCCAATAGAATGATGCTTTATAAATATTTCATTGAAATTCAGTAATTTCAAATATTTAATTTGTTTGAGGAAATATATTAATCAATTAACTGTGACTTTTGATGAAAAACAAATGACCTGTGAATATTAAAGCAGGATAGTCTTGACCATAAACAGAATATGTGCCAATAGAACACCATGCTTAGTTGCACTATATTTCCATAATGATCATGCAGTGGCGGATCCAGAACTTTTCATAAGGGGGGGAGCCCGCTCCAGTCATGCTTCAGTGATTCCCTATATAATCAACCAAATTTTTCCCCCGAAAGGGGGGGGGGGCCTTGGATCCGCCTATGTCATGTGTATATATGTGAACTAAATTTCAAGTTGATTTATGACCAACTCCTTTCTTGATCAGGTCATACTTATTTTCAGATCTTGTATACTGTGAATTCATTAATATTCTTTGGATACCGAATTTCCTGGATTTCGTGAGTACAGGGGAATAACTAATTTAAATGTTCAACAAATTACAAATTTTCTAAAGGAATGTATGCAGACTTTGCCAAAACAACGAAATTAAATATCCATGAAAATGCAAGTTTTCCTCAATCCACAAAATTGCACCCACTTAAATAAATGAATCCACATCCGGAGTATATAATTTTCCACAAATATCTGATTACCATTACATTGTCCTCATTCACAGGCCGCCTGCCTCATATTAATTCAGAATATGCAAGAAAGACTTATATATAACTCATAGATTGGAGTAAGACCATATCAACTGAAAAAGTATCTGCAATAGAATGGATATACAGTCAAACCTGTATTAAGCAGTCACCCTTGGGAAGTATCAAAAGTGACCGCTCAAGAGAGGTGACCTTTTAAACGAGGTTCCGAATTATTCCAATTCCGAGATCACCTGTGGCTGGGATCGGGCTAATTGTTTTATTCTTTTCAATCGGTAGAGTTATCTTTCTTGCGTCAGTGAAATTAAACTAACAGTAGAGGCTCTAAAGAGCCTGTGTCGCTCACATAGGTCTATGTGCATTACCAATAATGGACTCTCTCCAACATTGTAGACAAGAATAGAATTCATGACAAAAATTTCTTTTTTGTTGATCATTTTGTCTGTTTAGTTTCTCTCTATCTTCTTTATGTTTTGCTCAAAACACAAAAGATTCTGGCACTGTAAATTTGAAGAAAACATTTGAAATATGTTTATATTCCTGGAGAAATAAGTCAGTGATATGGTTTTTAATGAAAACAGAAAAGTGTGAAACACAAGGAATTCACTTATTTAGCTCCTATTGTACGATCTCTGTTAGAAACAGGTTCCAATTTTCATTTTGACTTCGATAATGAATACAAAAATTTTTCGTCATGATGAATTGGTTAGTTAAAAACATAAAAAAGAATGTTGTTAAAAGGTGAAAAGATGATTTCATGTGAAAATTAGGTGACCGCTGACCGGTTTAAACAGGTGACCGCTGAAACACTTACCATTCCTCTGTCTATAAATAGTTATCTTAGGGTTTGTTCCTTCTAAATATAGACTAGTTCTGAACTGTCGACTCTCATACTCTCCAACCATGCTTGACACCATTACTTGTTGACCAGGCTGTAGAATGTGAAGCTTCAATACCTAAAACAGAATCAATAAATTAATCTTGTGAACACCTCATTGTAAAAGTTGACTGCCAATTATTAATAAAAAAAATTAAACATTGCATTGTATAAAGCATTGATTGTAGTTGATTCAACTATAATCATGGACAAAGGAAGATAACTCAAATTTTAACAAGAGTGCACACGCTGAAATGTCTCGCCTTCTTTACTAATCATTGATATTATGTTGATAGTCCTAAATATAAAGCTTTATTACAACTGTCACATAAACTTAACATTAACCAAGTAAACTAAACATTGACCAATGAACCATGAAAATGAGGTCAAGGTCAGATGAACCATGCTAGGCAGGCATGTACAGCTACCAATTCTTCCATACAACAAATATAATTGACCTACTGCTTATAGTTTAAGAAAAACAGACCAAAACACAAAAACTTAACACTGAGCAATGAACCTTGAAAATGAGGTCAAGGTCAAATAAAACCTGTGTGACTGCCAAATAGATCATAAAATATTTCCATACACCAAATATAGTTGAACTATTGCATATAGTATTAGAAAAAAGGACCAAAACTCAAAAAACTTAACTTTGACCACTGAACCATGAAAATGAGGTCAAGGTCAGATGACACCTGCCCGCTAGACATGTACACCTTACAATCATTCCATACACCAAATATAGTAGACCTATGGCATACAGTATAAGAAAAACAAACCAAAACACAAAAACTTAACTATAACCACTGAACCTTGAAACTGAGGTCAAGGTCAGATGACACCTGCCAGTTGGACATGTACACCTTACAATCCTTCCATACACCGAATATACTAGACCTATTGCTTATAGTATCTGAGATATGGACTTGACCACCAAAACTTAACCTTGTTCACTGATCCATGAAATGAGGTCAAGGTCAAGTGAAAACTGTCTGACGGGCATGAGGACCTTGCAAGGTACGCACATACCAAATATAGTTGAACTATTGCATATAGTACTAGAAAAAAAGACCAAAACTCAAAAACTTAACTTTGACCACTGAACCATGAAAATGAGGTCAAGGTCAGATGACACCTGCCCGCTAGACATGTACACCTTACAATCATTCCATACACCAAATATAGTAGACCTATGGCATACAGTATAAGAAAAACAGACCAAAACACAAAAACTTAACTATAACCACTGAACCATGAAAATGAGGTCAAGGTCGGATGACACCTGCCAGTTGGACATGTACACCTTACAGTCCTTCCATACACCGAATATACTAGACCTATTGCTTATAGTATCTGAGATATGGACTTGACCACCAAAACTTAACCTTGTTCACTGATCCATGAAATGAGGTCGAGGTCAAGTGAAAACTGTCTGACGGGCATGAGGACCTTGCAAGGTACGCACATACCAAATATAGTTATCCTATTACTTATAATAAGAGAGAATCTAACATTACAAAAAATCTTAACTTTTTTTTCAAGTAGTCACTGAACCATGAAAATGAGGTCAAGGACATTGGACATGTGACTGACGGAAACTTCGTAACATGAGGCATCCATATACAAAGTATGAAGCATCCAGACCTTCCACCTTCTAAAATATAAAGCTTTTAAGAAGTTAGCTTACGCCGCCGCCGCCGCCGGATCACTATCCCTATGTCGAGCTTTCTGCGACAAAAGTCGCAGGCTCGACAAAAATTACTTGATATTTAGAAGAAATTAAAAATTTTGCAATTTTTCCATTTATAAAGGGGTATAACTCTAGAACGGTTAAAGTGACGCCACCAAAATTCAAACTTGATCTGTGTTTTGTGGTAATAAGCATTGTCTATAAGTTTCATAACATTTGGTTGAGGCAAACTTAAGTTAGAGAACAGAAACTAAAAATTTTGCAATTTTTCCATTTATAAAGGGCATAACTCTAGAACGGTTAATGTGACGCCACTAAAATTCAAACTTGATCCATGTTTTGTGGTAATAAGCATTGTGTATAAGTTTCATAACATTTGGTTGAGGCAAACTTAAGTTAGAGAACGGAAACTAAAAATTTTGCAATTTTTCCGTTTATAAAAGGGCATAACTCTAGAATGGTTAAAGTGACGCCACCAAAATTCAAACTTGATCTGTGTTTTGTGGTAATAAGCAGTGTGTATAAGTTTCATAACATTTGGTTGAGGCAAACTCAAGTTAGAGAACGGAAATTTGGGACGTACGTATGTACAGACGGACAAGGGTAAAACTTAATGCCCCCACCGCTACGGTGGGGGCATAAAAATTGAAAAATGAAAGAAAATATGTTCAAAATTTCCTTTAGACATTATCTCTTAATCATATAAAAGCTTTTGTCAAAGTTTCATAATATTCAACAAAATTATTGATGTCTGAAAACATTAACCCTAGACTGTATGATATTAACTGCAAAAAAATAAAAACTAAGTCCATATCTCTCTTGATTTTACCTAACCTACCTTGTCAATCAGCTTAGTATCAAAGTTAAGTGACACCCAGGGAACTCTCTTGATTTTACCTAACCTACCTTGTCAATCAGCTTAGTATCAAAGTTAAGTGACACCCAGGGAACTCTCTTGATTTTTTGAAAGGCCTCTGCTGTAGGAGCAAATACATTGACCCCAGTCTGTGTAACAAGGGCTTGCCTTGTCTCTTCTGAAGCTTTATTAATTAACTGGTCAAATAATCTGAAGATAGAAAAAAAAAAGATCACAAACTGTGGAATAATTTTTGTAAGAACTTGTAAATATTCATGGCCTGAGGAATATCGGGGTTGTCTGGATTTTGTGGTTTTGACGATTTCTGCATACAAGTCTTTCGATTATTTTGTATTTTGTTAAACTGCAAGTTACTTTCATTTTTGAAACCCCCCTTTCCCTCCCACTTTAATTTTTTCGGTTAATATTAAATTGATATAAAGTAATAAATGCATCACATGGAATACCTTGCCGACATGTAGCTGGATACCAAAGTTTAGGATTTATATAGTTCCTGAGAAAAATTGAAGAAATTTACAAACATGGCCATTATGTGAAAGAATATTTAAGTAAATTAGTGACAGATGAATGTGAAAATGCATCACACTATAAAGCATCCTTATATAAAGCTTGTTACCAAATTTCAGTATGCTCTGATTTGAAGTTTCAGAGAAAAATGCAACAATATGTCATGAAACTCACTGACTGAGTAAAGTCAGTGTAACCCATGAATAATATAGTTTCTACAATTTATTTAAACACAGAGTGATTTAAACCTTGACATATTGTATAGACACCTAACTACAGTTAAATTTACATTGTGTCATAGATCAAATTTATTCGTTCAGTGTATGTTTACTTGTTTTTGTTAATATGTCTTTTGATTGAGTTAAGCCATTTCAATTGATATTTTATAGTGTGTCTTTCCATGTTGTGATATTACACTATTATTTCAGGTTAGGGTGAAGGTTGGTGCCTGTTAAAACGTTTAAACCCGCTGCATTTGTTTGCACTTGTCCTAAGTCAGGAACCTGTTGTTCAGTGGTTGTCGTTTGTTGACGTGGTTCATAAGCATTTCTCGTTTCTCCTTTTTTATATAGATTAGACCGTTGGTTTTCCTGTTTGAATGGTTTTACATCTGTCATTTTTGGGTCCCTTGATAGCTGGCTGTTCGGTGTGAGCCAAGGCTCCGTGTTGAAGGCCTTACTTTGACCTATAATGGTTTACTTTTACAAATTGTGACTTGGATGGAGAGTTGTCTCATTGGCACTCATACCACATCTTCTTATATATAACTAAAGACTGTATGTTGACCACTTAATGTCGTCTGGTTTTTGTCATTTGGTCTCTGGCTCCTTGATGTATACTTAATATTTTCCTTTAATCCAAAGAACAAAAAATATAAAAACAGGAATTTGTTCCACTGTTATTTATATATGGATTATATCATAATTGATATATTCAAAACTATACATACGGTGAGTCTTCTGATATCTGCTGTCGTACTGTATTATAGATGAAACCTAGCAAGCGATCACAAACATGGATGACTCCATTGTTGACTGTTATATTTCCCATTGTAATCGCTGACGTGACTCCACCACTGTTGACATAGACTGAAAGAGATGAATTGCAATTTATATTGAGGACAGACAGCCATTGTGAATAAAGAAAACTCCTCAAGCAAAATGTTTGAATAGAAAAAAGGACAAAAAATTGAATTTAAAATCCTAAATATGATGCCTATAAAAACTGCTATTCTACTGTGCACTGCCATATTGGTGCTGATGCAGAAATGTGAATTATTTGCGGAACTTTCCATATTGATAAAGAAATTCATATAATTTTCATTTAATGGTAAAAACTGTCTTGAGAATACAGAATTGTTTTCCTTTGATTCAAAAATTTCGAAAACTTGGCTCTATACAATGGGAGATAACTCTGATAATAAAATGTACTGAATATTTTACTTTTATGTTATTAACACATTTTTTTTTAATTTATTGAGAGCATTTTATAAAAGTCATCTTCTTTTACTGTACAACATTCTAACAGTACATTTTTTTTTATTAATCTGTATTTTTATCCGTAAAAAATATGGGAATATTACACTACGTATTTTGAAAATATCATGATGTCAAACTACATTTTTTGAAAATATGAACAAATCTTTAAGCTTTTGTTTGTATTCCAATACAAGCTTAAAGTAGGACAGTGGTCATTACTTGAAATATCAAAGTAAAGGTATTGTTATAATGAGTCAATATATATTAAAGAAATGAGGAGTCCGGAGCCTCTGGCCTTTGCTAGTCTTGTATGTTTTTTTTAATTTTAGTTCATTTATATGTTTTGGAGTTTAGTGTGACGTCCATTTTCATCGAACTAGTACACATTTTTGTTTAGGGGCCAGCTGAAGCCCGCCTCCGGGTGTTGGATTTTCTCGCTGTGTTGAAGACCCATTGGTGGCCTTCGGCTGTTTTCTGCCCTTTGGTCGGGTTGTTGTCTCTTTGACACATTCCCCATTTCCATTCTCAATTTTATGATGGCCAAATGAGGCAACTATCCATTTGAGTCCAAATGACATGGATTTAAGCAACATTAGCCTGTTTACACTAAGGCCAGTTATTACCTTTATTATCGATAAATTTTAATTTGTGTAATGAGCCCTCAACACTCTTTAAGGATGTTTGCTACTCTGTTTCAAAATAACAAGCTTTTTAAAAGACTGTTATAAATTGAAAGAATATAAATAAAGAAGCTAAAAAAACAGGAAAAAAAATGAAGGGACCGTGTGCTTGTTTTTGAGATATAAGATATGGTAAATTTGGCGGGAAATGATTCTCTCTAGATTTTTCATGCATTTAACATTGGCAGCTTTTTACTTTCAAAAACTGTGAAAAAATAATAAGGCTTTTATAAGATTTTCAAAAATGGCTTTTCAAACTATATGTTATAAAATTATGAAAAGAAAAGGAGGGGTTAGTAGGAAATTTTTTTATTTGCACTACATGGATAAAACTAGAGGATTCCGAATATCTGACAAAAAAATCAAAATCAAGAGTAGCGAACATCCTTAAACATTTTTGAAGATTTGCAAACTAAAATCCCAGTCTATAAAGTAACTGATTCATCCAAATGATTTTGAACCATATTTATTTTCATCTTGCCTTTCTTACATTCTTTAATGAATTTTTAAAATATTGTCTTCCATATTGATAGTGACATCTTTTTGGCATTTATAAACAGCTGTTTCTTACTGTTATATGGATATGGTTTGCATATTGACAGAGCTCTTTGATTGGTGTTAAAAGAGAGGCAAAGGATACCAAAGGGACATTCAAAGTTGAGGAATCCCTGATTGTGATTGAAAAAAGTTCCTTCCCCTTATATGGATATGGTTTGCGTATAGACAGAGCTCTCTGATCAGGGTTAAGGAATCCCTGATTGTGATTAAAAAAAGTTCCTTCCCCTTATATGGATATGGTTTGCGTATAGACAGAGCTCTCTGATCAGGGTTAAGGAATCCCTGATTGTGATTAAAAAAAGTTCCTTCCCCTTATATGGATATGGTTTGCGTATAGACAGAGCTCTCTGATCAGGGTTAAGGAATCCCTGATTGTGATTAAAAAAAGTTCCTTCCCCTTATATGGATATGGTTTGCGTATAGACAGAGCTCTCTGATCAGGGTTAAGGAATCCCTGATTGTGATTGAAAAAAGTTCCTTCCCCTTATATGGATATGGTTTGCGTATAGACAGAGCTCTCTGATCAGGGTTAAGGAATCCCTGATTGTGATTAAAAAAAGTTCCTTCCCCTTATATGGATATGGTTTGCGTATAGACAGAGCTCTCTGATCAGGGTTAAGGAATCCCTAATTGTGATTAAAAAAAGTTCCTTCCCCTTATATGGATATGGTTTGCGTATAGACAGAGCTCTCTGATCAGGGTTAAGGAATCCCTGATTGTGATTAAAAAAAGTTCCTTCCCCTTATATGGATATGGTTTGCGTATAGACAGAGCTCTCTGATCAGGGTTAAGGAATCCCTGATTGTGATTAAAAAAAGTTCCTTCCCCTTATATGGATATGGTTTGCGTATAGACAGAGCTCTCTGATCAGGGTTAAGGAATCCCTGATTGTGATTAAAAAAAGTTCCTTCCCCTTATATGGATATGGTTTGCGTATAGACAGAGCTCTCTGATCAGGGTTAAGGAATCCCTGATTGTGATTAAAAAAAGTTCCTTCCCCTTATATGGATATGGTTTGCGTATAGACAGAGCTCTCTGATCAGGGTTAAGGAATCCCTGATTGTGATTAAAAAAAGTTCCTTCCCCTTATATGGATATGGTTTGCGTATAGACAGAGCTCTCTGATCAGGGTTAAGGAATCCCTGATTGTGATTGAAAAAAGTTCCTTCCCCTTATATGGATATGGTATGCGTATAGACAGAGCTCTCTGATCAGGGTTAAGGAATCCCTGATTGTGATTAAAAAAAGTTCCTTCCCCTTATATGGATATGGTTTGCGTATAGACAGAGCTCTCTGATCAGGGTTAAGGAATCCCTAATTGTGATTAAAAAAAGTTCCTTCCCCTTATATGGATATGGTTTGCGTATAGACAGAGCTCTCTGATCAGGGTTAAGGAATCCCTGATTGTGATTAAAAAAAGTTCCTTCCCCTTATATGTATATGGTTTGCGTATAGACAGAGCTCTCTGATCAGGGTTAAGGAATCCCTGATTGTGATTAAAAAAAGTTCCTTCCCCTTATATGGATATGGTTTGCGTATAGACAGAGCTCTCTGATCAGGGTTAAGGAATCCCTGATTGTGATTAAAAAAAGTTCCTTCCCCTTATATGGATATGGTTTGCGTATAGACAGAGCTCTCTGATCAGGGTTAAGGAATCCCTGATTGTGATTAAAAAAAGTTCCTTCCCCTTATATGGATATGGTTTGCGTATAGACAGAGCTCTCTGATCAGGGTTAAGGAATCCCTGATTGTGATTAAAAAAAGTTCCTTCCCCTTATATGGATATGGTTTGCGTATAGACAGAGCTCTCTGATCAGGGTTAAGGAATCCCTGATTGTGATTAAAAAAAGTTCCTTCCCCTTATATGGATATGGTTTGCGTATAGACAGAGCTCTCTGATCAGGGTTAAGGAATCCCTGATTGTGATTAAAAAAAGTTCCTTCCCCTTATATGGATATGGTTTGCGTATAGACAGAGCTCTCTGATCAGGGTTAAGGAATCCCTGATTGTGATTAAAAAAAGTTCCTTCCCCTTATATGGATATGGTTTGCGTATAGACAGAGCTCTCTGATCAGGGTTAAGGAATCCCTGATTGTGATTAAAAAAAGTTCCTTCCCCTTATATGGATATGGTTTGCGTATAGACAGAGCTCTCTGATCAGGGTTAAGGAATCCCTGATTGTGATTAAAAAAAGTTCCTTCCCCTTATATGGATATGGTTTGCGTATAGACAGAGCTCTCTGATCAGGGTTAAGGAATCCCTGATTGTGATTAAAAAAAGTTCCTTCCCCTTATATGGATATGGTTTGCGTATAGACAGAGCTCTCTGATCAGGGTTAAGGAATCCCTGATTGTGATTAAAAAAAGTTCCTTCCCCTTATATGGATATGGTTTGCGTATAGACAGAGCTCTCTGATCAGGGTTAAGGAATCCCTGATTGTGATTAAAAAAAGTTCCTTCCCCTTATATGGATATGGTTTGCGTATAGACAGAGCTCTCTGATCAGGGTTAAGGAATCCCTGATTGTGATTAAAAAAAGTTCCTTCCCCTTATATGGATATGGTTTGCGTATAGACAGAGCTCTCTGATCAGGGTTAAGGAATCCCTGATTGTGATTAAAAAAAGTTCCTTCCCCTTATATGGATATGGTTTGCGTATAGACAGAGCTCTCTGATCAGGGTTAAGGAATCCCTGATTGTGATTAAAAAAAGTTCCTTCCCCTTATATGGATATGGTTTGCGTATAGACAGAGCTCTCTGATCAGGGTTAAGGAATCCCTGATTGTGATTGAAAAAAGTTCCTTCCCCTTATATGGATATGGTATGCGTATAGACAGAGCTCTCTGATCAGGGTTAAGGAATCCCTGATTGTGATTAAAAAAAGTTCCTTCCCCTTATATGGATATGGTTTGCGTATAGACAGAGCTCTCTGATCAGGGTTAAGGAATCCCTAATTGTGATTAAAAAAAGTTCCTTCCCCTTATATGGATATGGTTTGCGTATAGACAGAGCTCTCTGATCAGGGTTAAGGAATCCCTGATTGTGATTAAAAAAAGTTCCTTCCCCTTATATGGATATGGTTTGCGTATAGACAGAGCTCTCTGATCAGGGTTAAGGAATCCCTGATTGTGATTAAAAAAAGTTCCTTCCCCTTATATGGATATGGTTTGCGTATAGACAGAGCTCTCTGATCAGGGTTAAGGAATCCCTGATTGTGATTAAAAAAAGTTCCTTCCCCTTATATGGATATGGTTTGCGTATAGACAGAGCTCTCTGATCAGGGTTAAGGAATCCCTGATTGTGATTAAAAAAAGTTCCTTCCCCTTATATGGATATGGTTTGCGTATAGACAGAGCTCTCTGATCAGGGTTAAGGAATCCCTGATTGTGATTAAAAAAAGTTCCTTCCCCTTATATGGATATGGTTTGCGTATAGACAGAGCTCTCTGATCAGGGTTAAGGAATCCCTGATTGTGATTAACATATTTATAAACACCTGATACATACCGTTATATGGATATGGTTTGCGTATAGACAGAGCTCTCTGATCAGGGTTAAGGAATCCCTGATTGTGATTAACATATTTATAAACACCTGATACATACCGTTATATGGATATGGTTTGCGTATAGACAGAGCTCTCTGATCAGGGTTAAGGAATCCCTGATTGTGATTATCATATTTATAAACACCTGATACATACCATTATATGGATATGGTTTGCGTATAGACAGAGCTCTCTGATCAGGGTTAAGGAATCCCTGATTGTGATTAACATATTTATAAACACCTGATACATACCGTTATATGGATATGGTTTGCGTATTGACAGCGCTCTTTGATTGGCATTAAGGAATCCCTGATTGTGATTAACATAAGTTGTAAACAATGCAGCATTCTTTATGTAATGTGCCCTAACCACCTGTAAAATAGAAATTTAAATGCATATTAAAACGAAAAAAAAATATAATTCATATCGATTTTAAATACAGTACTGTTCACATTGGCAGTAAGGTGACTTACTTACACTTTAGAAATCTCACTGATTTAAATGTAGTTACTATCCTAATTGGAAAAATTTTAAAAGTAATAGATTCTCATCCAACTTTAGAAAAAAGGGGGGGGAAGGGAATAAATGTTATGTTTTGCCCTTTCTGGCTGTTAAATTGGGACCTAAAGGTTGAGGTTAGTCGAGGGAAGAGAATCTAAAATATGTTATGGCCAAATCCAGCAAAATGCATTCAAGCAATTGTAAATATTTGCAAAAAATTTAGAAAAAGATTATTTAATGAAAGAAAAATTATATTTTTCAAAATAAATTTAGATCAATTATTTGTCTAAAATGTACCCAAAAGGATTGACTTAACAGTTCCCCCTCCTGAAATGAGGTTCCTCATCACTAGATACCTCATGTAATTTCTGTACATCTTGTTGAAGGTCTCTAAGTTTAGATGAATCTATTCTATCTATAGCAGCATCATTTGGTACGAAGAGTGTAAATCTTCCATCGTAATTCTGGAGATCTTTGATAGGATCATAGAACTGTCCAGATATAGATAGCTTATTCAAAATCTCTGTATAAAACTTCCTACAAATAAAAAAAAAAACATGTTAGAGTATTATATGTATATAAAATAACTAGAACTGCGAGTTCAAACTGTGAGTGAACTCCGAGATTCAAAAGGATTCCTCTGCCACCCAAATTTGATTATTTGCCCTTTAACAAGTTTGACACAGATAATACAGTTCTACAACCGTGTAAATTTCCATCAATAACCATTTAAGCATTTGTGAGGAGTTGCCCTTTGTAGAGACTATAACCACATATAGTAATCTTGAAGTAAGAAAGTTGAATTATCTCCCCTTTAACCTGTATGTAGCTCTGTCTATCATAGATGACCCTGTGTTGACCTCTACATGTCTTTTTTGTGTCATCAAGTAACTATCTCATTTTTGTACAGCAAACATCTCCTTCTGGGCCAAAAATAGAATTTAGATTGTTTCATGTTGCCTACCTACCCTAAAAAGCTGCCTACCCGAAATTTTATGACACAAATCAGTTCAAATTTTTTTTAAATGATTTTTTCCTGCTTTAATGTCCTTTTCTTGTCTAAAACATGTAAACATATGTTGTTGGCCAAAACAAATAAAATCCCTACCTACCTACCCATCCCAACAAGGCATGGGTAGGAAACATCCAATAAAGAATTTTTGTAAGGATGGCCTTATTCATACTCTTAGAAAGATTTTCTAGTAGGACTTCTGTGACTTACGTAGAGTTGACTTTTGGATTGTCTGGAGACTGTGTATATTCATAAGATGTCTTCAGACTGGTCTTATCAATCCAGATCATAAGTCCATGGACCACACCATTTATACCAACCAGATCTTTCTGCTCTGGTGATACAATAGCTCCATTAACAAAGAACGTTGTTGGTCCAAACCAACCAGAAATTGCCTGGAAATAGAAATTTACATCCATAACTTTAATATCATAGGATGCAAGGTGAACAAACAAACGCAAAACACATAAAAGAGGGTCTGCATGGGGGGTCCTCTATTTCTGTTTTCTTTAATTTTTTATGCCATTTTTCTCTATTCTTAATTTTTTTGGTCCATTTTTCTCTATTCTTTATAAATTTTGCCCATCATTGTCTATTCTGTAAACCCCCATCCACCCCCTATATAAGGATGAAAATTTCAAAACAGTTATTGACAAGACTTAATTATTAATGATAGTAATTTAACAAAATATTGGATATGAAAATTTTATCTTCATCATGTTTATGTAGTTGTAGAATTTTCAATAAAGAATTCATTTGCATGAAGAAATTATGTGTTATCAGTGAATGTGATTAATATGTGTGAAATAAATATGCTAATACCTGATGATTTTTTAAGATTTATACTGACAGTGAGTGTTAAGTGTCTAAAATTTCACAAGTAATTCAATAGTCAGGAGCCTGTAATTCAATGATTGTCGTTTGTTGCTGTATATCATTGTTTTTCGTTTATTGTTTTGTACATCAATCAGGCCCTTGGTTTTCTGTCTGAATTGTTTTACATTTGTCATTTTAGGGCCTTTTATAGCTTACTATGTGGGTTTTGTTCATTGTTGAAGGCCATACGTTGACCTATAGTAGTTAACTTCTATGTCATTTGGTCTCTGGAGGAGGGTTGTCTCATATGCAATCATACTATATCTTATTTTTACATTCTATGTCTTATTCTGAAAATGTTTAGGCCTATTTCAAGTATTATTTTAACCAATTTCACAAGTCTTACTTTAAAACTGTAAGGCCATGAGATTACATTGCTACTTACACTCCCTTCTCGTCTATTAATATACAGTTTACTTGAAGACATACTTCTTCTTACTGAATTATCTTGGAAATCTCCTGTCATTAACCTTTGTCCTTCAACTGAAAAAATAATTAGGGTTAAGAAATTAAAAAATGTGGGGTATACATCAATAGGACTCTAATCTAGATTTTGATTGGTTAATACGAGGAAGACAATTTACTCTATCCCATGGCAAATACTCTATTACCCTTCACGGAGACGCTTGCTCAAGTGTGCTCAAGTGTGCGCTTTAATAAATGCAGATGATTGTTTTGTACAAGACGACATAGTTTATTACTTTGAATTTGAAATTTAATAGACAGCAATAACAGAACATTCAGTATAACAAATTAAATAACACATATCTAAGAGGGTGATAGAGCAGATTGTTTCCCCTCGAAAAGACAATGTCAACCTTGGCTTCGTCTCAGTTGACAATGTTTTCTCTGGGTAACAATCTGCTCTATCACCCTCTCAGCTATGTGTTATTTATATAGTATTGGATCAAATTCCAACATTCTGAAGTAGAAGGTGTATTTGGGGCATATTTGGGACTCTAAATTTGATGAAGATCAAAAACAGTGTGCTCCATTCAAGACCACAATTTGGACAAGTCTAAAGTACAACTTTCAGTAAAATGAAAACTCAAGCTGTCCCCTCCCCCTTCCAAACCAATTTTTTTCATACACAAATTAAAATGTTTAAGATCATCTACCTATTTTCTTTTATTTAAATTAAGCATGATACATTTGCATGAAAATGCAAAAAAAAACAACCAAACCGGATCCCAAACTTTCCAAAAAATAGGATGAGTATCAAAGAATTTTAGAATGCTGTTACTAATGTTAAATATTAATTTTATTCCTATATGTACTTACTGACATGAAACTTGACAAAGTTTTGAAGATCAATGCCCACCATGGTATCGACAATGTGCTTCCTGTCTGGAGTGAGGTTCTCATAGGCTGTGTCATTGGGAGCAAATATTGTGTATGTCCTTGAAAACTGAAAGAATTCCACTAGGTTTGCCTTTCTTACAAGAGACTCAAACTAAAATACAAATGAACAATAAAAAAATGATACAGAAACATAAATCAAAGAATTGTTGGTGCTGTGAACCAGCCAATTTTTTAAGCTCGTCAGGCATTTTTTCTGATATCATTTTTATTATTTTCTCATAAAAGCAGAGCTCTCCTTTAAAAATTTCAAGACAGTCATCAAAACTTGGTTTAAATGAATTTGGCCCAAAATGTAAATTTATGTCTTGGCAAGTTTCTATTGTAAACTAGAGGCTCTAAAAGACTTTTGAAGTACATCATGTGTCATTCAATTGGCTGTACAATGTATGTGCATTTTCAAAAATGCCACTCTCCAACATTAAGAGTAGACTAGAATATAATTAATTACTATATATATATATAAGATCTCTTTTTTGCTGATCTTGCACTTGTGTGCTTCTTCTTCACTCTAGTATGTCAATTCTAAAGAAATAAAACTGCTATACATTTGCTATAAGAACTTAGGAGTCTACCCATGATTTTGGCCATGTTAAATTTATTTATAGAGTTTGTCTTGCTGATCCTTTTAAAGTTTTTGCAGTTTTAAGTTCTCTCTATCTATTATAATCTTCAAGAAAATAGGCAAAAATTAAAAAAACAATGGTAAAAATCATAATTTGTTGGCAATAACACCTGTTAAATTTTCTCTATCAATAGAGGATTTCAAGTATAAAAACAAATCTTGCATTTTTTTACGTTACCACTATGTTCTAGTTTTACTTTTAGCCATGAGTCATATTGGTTGGTATGCAGTAGAACTGGACACATTTTTAAACTAGATACCCAAATGATGATTGTGGCCAAGTTCGATTTTATTTGGCCCAGTAGTTTCAGTGGACAATATTTTTGTAAAAAAAAAAGTATGACAAGACAACAATTGCCAAGTGATGAGAATAGCTCTCTCAGCCGTTTGGTCCAGGTGAGCTTATAAGAAGAGACAAGATACCAAAGAGCAATCAAAAATCATGAGTCCAATAAGAACAGTGAAAACAAGAAATTAAGTGCCAATCTGCATAAGAATCAGGCAGTGGTGAAAACATATGACAAACAAAAACCCACTGAAGTTGACATTAAATTATGCTCTAAATGTAGAATGGTGCACGAATATAACACTCGTTTCCTTTTCCTGTTCTGGTAAGTCAAGATATAATTTGGTTGAAATGCACTAGAAAGTAACAATTAAGGGGAGCTAATACTCCATAATTTTCTATCATTCTATCCAAAAGTTATCTAAAAATTTCTCGAAAGTACCTGACACGCAGAAATGAAAGACCTACCATTTCTAACTCAGGATGAGGGTAACTTCAAAATAGGATGGTTATGTCGGTGGGTTTTTTTCTGCCATGTTTTGATTTTTTTCAAAAATTGTCTGATTCTTACAAACAGGCCTGGGGCCATTACATTGCAATGTAATGCACTACATTACAATTACTTTGTGATTCTTCCATTACAATTACATTTTTTCTCACATGTAATGCATTATATTACAATTACTTTGCCTGTGTAATGCATTACAATACACATTACTTTTTCAATATATAAACATGTAAAAAACTAAAATTTTTTATAAGAAATTGATAAATATTACCAAGGTATATGTACATATATGTATAGGTATATGTACATATATATACGGTTGGTTCCCGATTGTTCCACTTTTTAAAATTTTAGAGTTCTGATTGTCCAACATGAAAAGTTCTGATTGTCCTACATTATTTTTATATTTTTAATGTTCTTGAATAAACAATGTAATTGTTGTTTGTTTTGCAATATCAAATTAAAATTAATTATTGCATGAGCAAACTAGTAGTTGATATCAATTTTATAAATGTAACTATGAATTGTTGAATAAATCATCAGTTAAAATGCACTTTTGATTAAGCAGTATAACTTATATATGTAATAAACGATATCTATTATGTTAGGTTAATTCCTAAATCAAATATTTTTTTTATTTTAAAGTTGTTAATTGAATTTTAAAAACATGGACGCAATTTTGACTTTCTTTTCATTTTTAAGAGCGCTCAGACTTAAAGGTCTAGCGGGGTACGTCTAAACACCGCTCAGGACCTCCTGAGTACACTCAGGACATACAATGTGCACTCAGGACCCTTTATAGTCATTGTATTTGCACACAGGATGGATGAATATATTCGTTACACGCTGCTTATTCAAGAGTTAAATTTTGGTAGAATTTGAAATCGAACTTAGATAGATATGTTAATTCATATGAAATAATGAGGGCACGTGTCACTGATTACACAACTACTGAGCCGTGAATTATCCAATCAACAAAATTGATTGGATTATCTTTATTGTTGCTTATGCATTGTGTTGTTAGTACTGTGTTACGTTTAAAATGAATAACACGATGTTATTAAGTTTTGTGAAAGTTGCAGTGTAGAGACTGAAAAACATTTTCTTATGGAATGCACACTTTATGACGATATTTGATATAACCTTTTTCATGAATGTTCAAAATTTATTCAATATTTTCACAGCCTTGATATAGATAACAAATTTATTGAAACTATGAACTGGTCCTATATTTTCAATGACAGTATTTAGAATTTAAAATTAATAAGACAGATCAGAATTTATTTATATGATTTGCTAAGTCTAATATCTTGGCTGCGTACGTGCTGTCCTTGGTCTTTTCCTTTGGTTTGGCTTACGATCACGCTTCTGGGGTTTTCACACTTCAAACTCTGTGCACGAAGACTTAGTCGTGGTTTGAACGGATTTCGTTTACTTACAAATTATTTAGAAATAATACCCAAATATGATAATTTTTAACTTTAATGAGAAAGATAAATCTTACTAAATGCGGATTTGTTAAAGCATTCGTATTACTCAAGAATGAAATTACTGGACAAGAACGATAAAAATGAGAAAGAACACTAACTATATGAGATTTGCTTATTTGAAAAGCGTATTTCGGTAAGTACGGCTTCTACAGTTAAGAACGGGTTCCATTTACAAAACTAAATCTTAATTCATGAAAAGTATGACAAATTTATTTCCCTTTTCAAACTCGTTCAAGGAATTTACATGTATTACTGGACAAGAACAAGTTTCTATAGGGGAATAAATCTAACAAATGAAATTTTGATTGAATCGTTATGTTATACATACACAGCCTCTCATTGGTCAAAAATAAAGTGTTAATTATTTGAATGAATCTCAAAGACAAGAAAATAGAACAAAACACACACACACAATTATATAAATAAGAATTAGAACGCAATGATACCAGAGACATATATACACATGTATATATATATATGTCTCTGATGATATCAATATTTTTTTTTTAATTCAACGCTATTTTTAGTGAGTGATCAGATTGACTGTTAGCTTGGCTGCGTACGTGCTGTAAAAGTAAATTATAAATGGTGTTTCACCGATTCTTTTTTTTACCATGGAACAATACAATTAAAGTCTATTGTAATATATCTAGAGATATGAAAATACGAAAGAATTATTCTTCTAAATTTTTGAAATAAGAATAAAACTAAACTTTTTATTGCACGAAATTTTAATAAAATACGAAAATCTATACAAAGAAAATAATAACGATATGTTTAATATCTATTAAGTTAATGAAATGAAATGAATTGAATGAAAATTTCCCAACTATATATGTAGATTTCTCATATTTCTCGACTGGCTTCAATTCTTACAAACAAAAAGAAAAATGTTTATTTAACGTTTTTTTTCTAAAACAATATATCTTTATTGTTCTTTATTTTTCAAAAGACATCTTGATTTTGTTTGTCTGCGAAACTTACTTGTATGAGGTAAGTACCATCACTAATCACTCCTAATTATTAAAGATCAAAAGACCTAATCAACTTGATAATTGGCATTTAATATAATCCTCGGTCATGCCTGACATATTTCACAAAAACGGTGCGTGCCGATGAAAACTTCAATAACTCCTTAAATGTTAAAATGATTTTATCAAAACAAAAATTAATAGATGAAGAATTAAATTATCTATCAAATGCATACCTTCACCACTCACTAAAACATATATTTCATGTCCTGAGTGCACTTTGTATGTCCTGAGTGCACTCAGGAGGTCCTGAGCAGTGTTTAGACGTACCGGGTCTAGCGACTGATTTAAAAAAACAAAACATTTACAATCTCAATATTACATAAGCAATTTTTATATGTAATAAAATAGATTGCAAGGTCTCAACCTATATTCTCACTTAGGGAAAAGAGACACTGTTTTAAAAACATTAAATGCTTTAAGCAGAACGAGAACATGTTGGTGTTAGATGAATATGAAACCTTCTTTTAAAAGAACTAGATCGACACAGTCATCAAGCCGGAATTTTAACTTGCTAGTTCACAAGATAACAGTCCGCAGGTAGACACATGTGTCACCATACACAGACAAATTATTCTAAGTAAGGACTGACCAGTCTTTCCTCTTTGTCCAAAATATCGCGTCCTTTGAGGAGAAGCAACAAATTCCAAATTTCTGTTCATTGGTTGGACCTGGCTGGGGTCAATTTATTCTTATTGTGTAAAGTTAGACCAGATATCTATACAATCAACATGTCTGCACATTATTTCGTTTTGAGTTTATGATTTCTTATTAATATTCAAATAAAACTTTCCCCATTTTTTGCTTGAATTGAATGCTTACTTGAACAATTTTATGATCAGACTTATTATATAGAATATGTTTCATTTCTTTGTTTTATGAATATATCTATTAATCCAATCATAACTCTTAACCCCCCCCTAACCCCACCCTTTTTTGCCCCCTGGTAAGATTTGCTGTGCTGCTACCATCTCTCAGACAACATCCTACATGTATATTTAATGGTTATCTCTGCTTGTATTTTCCTAGTGTAAAGTGTGAGTATACAACTTCTGTATGAGGAGTCTCAACCAGGTCCTGAACCAATTCAAATAACTAGTTCAGAGTCTAGTGAAGAAACCATTACATTTACTTGAGGCTGAATAAAAACTAAA